ACCTTAGGCAGAGAAGCCAACTGGGTGACTTTGACCCAATCACCAGGGGAGTGGGAGTTCTAGTCCCACCTTAGGCATGGAAGCCAACCGGGTAACTGGCCCAATTGCCAAGAGACCAATTTCTAGTCCTGCCTTGGAATGAAAGCTGGCTGGGTGACTTTGGGTCAACCACCAGGAGAGGGGGAGTCCTGCTTTAAGCAACAAAACCAGCTGGGTGTCTTTGGGCCTGTCCCTCTCTCACAGCCCAACCCACCTCACAGGGTTGTTGTTGTGAGGAAAAAGGAAGGAGGAAGGCGTGTTGGATATGTTGGACGCCTTATTTGTAAAAATAATAAAGGTGAGATACAAATCAATTGATCGATCGATGGATGGTATACAACGTCTGTCTTGTTGCAAGGCAATTTTTGCATGTTCAGGTGCTGAAGAGATTCCTTCTTGATCGGACAGAGCTCAGAAGGAAGCTTGAAGCAGAAGAAGCTTGAAGATGCGTTTGGTTCAAAAACAAGCTGGGTTTCCCCCCCCCCCCATGAATTATGGCTTAAGAGGAGGAGGGGAGGGAGGACACGGGGGCAAACTCCACTTACTTTCTAGGTCAGCCGCCTCCCGGGCTTCCCGTTCCAGACGCTGCCTCAGCAGCTCCTGCTGTTTTTCCAGGTATTGCTTGATGATGCTGTTCTGGCTCATCTCCTCTCCAATCTGGTGGGACGCGGGAGACAAAACAAGGTTCAGGAGAACACCCTGCCTTAGATCCCACCCTTAGGATTCACTGCTCGACCTTAAAAACATTTTTAAGGTGAGCGGACGTCAACTCCCGGAATATCTGGCGAGTTGAAGTCTACGCGTTTTAAAAATGCCGATAAAGTTAATGGTTCCCCCACTTGCACATACAGTATGCGCTAGTCATTTCTGGCTCTAGGGGGCGGTGTGCTCATCTCCGTTACAAAGCCGAAGAGCCAGCGCTGTCCGAAGACGTCTCCGTGGTCATGTGGCTGGCATGACTAAACGCCGAAAGCGCACGGGAGGCTGTTCCCTCCCCACCAAAGGTGGTCCCTATTTTTCTACTTGCATTTTTTTTGCATGCTTTCGAACTGCTAGGTTGGCAGAAGCTGGGACAAGGAACGGGAGCTCGCTCCGTTACGTGGCGCTAGGGATTCGAACCACCGAATTTTCCGACTGACAAGCTGAGCGTCTTAACCACTGAGCCACCACGCCAATAGGAGAGAATAATTGTGATCAAGGTTGACCTGAGGGATCCTTGGTGCTCTGAGCCTGATGGTTTTCTTGCAAGACCAAACTAGGTAACATTATCAGGGCAAGAAGGGAGTGGGGCTTGAGGAGGAGGAGGACGACTGTGGAGTCCTTGGTGTTCTCTGAGTTTGATGTTTTCTCGACCCAACTAGGTAACATCATCAGTGCTGAAGGAGGTGGAGGAGGAGGAAGAGGGGTGTGGGATCCTTGGTGCTCTCTATGAGATTGGTTTTGTTGCAGACCTTTCATTACCAAACTAGGTGACAGTATCAGTGCAAGGAGGAAGGGGGAAGAAGGGGAGGGGGGAATCCTTGGTACTCTTCAATATTGGTGGTTGAAGAAGTTTCATGACCCAACTAGGGAACATAATTAGTGCTAGAAAGGGGGAAGTTTTGTGAAGTGGCAGGAGGAGGAGGAGGAGGAGGGGAGTAGTTCTTGGTGCTCTATGCTTGGTTAATTTCTTGCAGATGTTTCATGACCCAACCAGGTAACCTTATCATTTATATATTAAAGGCTTGTCCTATCAGTCTTGCCTCTTGTCTCTTAAAACAGACAAGAGGAAGAAGAGGAGAAGGAGGGCGGCTATGGGGTCCTTGGTGATCTCTTGAGCTTGGCTGTTTTTTTACAGACATTTCATAACCTAACTAGATAATATCGTCAGTCCTAGGAGGAAGTAGGGTTTACTCCTTGTTTATGTAGTGGCTTACCCACTAAGCGTTGCTGAGAATGTTCTTGGTGGTTTATTGGTTGGGCTGCTTCCTGTTAACTTGTTTCTCTCAAGTGCATAGTTCCTTTATTGGGGTATTGTTTACTTCTGGATTGCTGGTCTAGTGTTAAGCGACTTGCATATAAACAGAGCAATCTCCACTCTCTTCTACCACTGATGATGTAATCTAGTCAGGTAATGAAATGTCTGCAAGAAAGCAACTAAGCTCAGAGAGCACCAAGAACCCAACAGTCATCCTCCTTCCCTCTCCCCACGCCCCACTCCCTTCTAGCACTGATGATGTTGCCTAGTTGGGTCATGAAACGTCTGCAAGAAAGCAACCAAGCTCAGAGAGCGCCAAGGACCTCACACATCTTAAAAAATGATTACGGTTGAGAAATACCGACCTGGAGCAGGGATCTCCAAACCTGGCAACTTTTAAGACTTGTGCACTTTGGCTCCCAGAATTCCTCAGCCAGCCATGCTGTGGAATTATGGGAGTTGAATTCCGTAAGTCCTACAGTTGCCAAACTTGGAGAACAGATCTAGAGTAAGTTCTGAGGCACTACTCAGGCATGGAAGCCAACAGGAGGAGGGAGATAACTGGTAATTAAATCTTCTGTTTGGGACCACAAGGAGGCCTAGAATTAATTTCCATGTCAACTGGAAAAGAAAAGAGAGGGACAAAAAAAAGGAAGTAAGTAAACCACAGACAAAGGACGGGCTGGCACATCTTACCTGGGAATTGGGTTGGAAGGTGGTATGTGGGGTTGAATGCTTCTGGAGGTTTTCGAGCATCAGGGCCTACAAACGAAAGAGATGAGATGAGATTAAAGACGGTCTCTAAATCCTGAACTCATTTTCCACTTGCAGAATTTCTTATACAATAAAGTTGGAGGTCTTCTAATCCAACCTCCCACCCACCCACCCCCGCGCTCAAGCAGGAGACCCTGCATCATTCCAAACCTCTAGCGTTGGAGTGCCTGCCCACTTCTGGTGGCAAGCTGTTCCAATGGTTATTTGTTCTCACTGCTACGAAGTTCCTCCTTAATTCCAGGTTGCTTCTCTCTTCGATTAGTTTCCAACCATTGTTTCTCGTCTTGCCTTCTGGTGCTTTGGAAAGTAAGTGGACCCCTTCCTCTTCTTTGGGGCAGCCCCTCAAATACTGGAATACTGCTATCGTGTCTCCCTCTAAGTCCTTCTTTCCTCTAGACTGGCCAAGCCCAAATCCTGCAACCATTCGTATGTTTAAGTCTCCAGGCCCTCAGGCATCTTAGTTGCTCTACTCTGCCCTGTTGTTGGGAAACCTACCCTGAAGCTTATCAAGCAAGGCCTCCCATCCCTTGACCCACTAGGACAGGGGTGTCAAACTCAATTTCATTGAGGGCCACATCAGGGCTGTGTTTGACCTCAGGTGGGAGGACGTGGCCAGGGTGGGCGTGGCCAGCTTGACATCACTCATATCGGGAGGGGGGGGGGGGTGCGCCTGCGGTGGCCTTAGTGTTCTGCCAGAGATAATGGTCTCCCAAGGCCAGTTTTCAGCCGCTCCGGCCTCCTGCAACCTTCTGCCAGTGAAAACATACCTTGGGAGGCCAGTCCTTTGCTGTTTCCAGGGCAATCCCGCAGGCCAGAACTAAGCATCCCGCGGGCAAAATCTGGCCGCGGGCAAAATCCTGGCTGACCCCTGCATTAGAAGGCGGAGTGACATTAGCCGTGCAATTCTCAGCCCTCAAGGCAGAACCATCATCAAACAAACATCTCCTTTTAATCTCCATTCAATTCGCAGTGAGGAACTCACTTAATTGGCCTCTTTAGTAAAACTCTGATTGCTTTACTCCAGGTTACCTGATCTGAGAATTACTCTTTTTTAAAAATATGATCTACCGGGTTCCTCTGCCAACCAGGAACGGGCACTCCAAAGTTTCTGCTTTGTTTATTTATTTCTGCTAATATTTCATCATCTCGTCCTATACAGGTACTCCTCGCCTTACAACCAGAATGGAGCCCGAAATTCCTGTTGCTGAGCAAGATATTTGTCGAGTGAATTTTTGCCCCATTTTACAACCTTTCTTGCTGCAGTTGATAACTGAATTGAATTTTTTATTGTCATTGTATGTATATACACAGTATGCATACAATGAAATGATTAAGTGAAACCACAGCTGTTAAGTAACATGGTTGTTAAGTGAATCTAGTTTTCCCTCCCCACTGACTTTGCTTGTCAGAAAGTCGCAAAAGGGGATTGCGTGACCCCAGGACATTGCAACCGTCATAACTATGAGTCAGTTGCCAAGCACCTGAATTTTGATCATGTGACCGTAGGGATGTTGCAACTTAAGTGTGAAAAATGATCAGAAGTCCCTTTTTTCAGTGCCATTGTAACTTTGAATGGTCACTAAATGAACTGTTGGAGGTCAAGAACTAGCAAACCAAATTTGAAGACATAAACTTGATCAGAACCGATTCTGTTTGGGAGAAATCGGGTACATCCCATCCCTCCATTGTTCACACAACCGATCTTTATCTAAACTTTTCACTTGTGGTCTTAAGAGTGAAGCTCCATGGCAAAGCCACTGACAGAATGGACCAGATCACCATGGCCATCTTGCCACGACCAGCTCACCACAGCCAACTCTCTGCAGGACAGCTCGCCAAGACCAATTCACCACAACCAACTCACCACAGCCAACTTGCTATAGGACAACTCACTCCGGGACAACTCACCACGGACAACTCACCACAACCAATTCTCCATGGCCAATTCACCATAACCAATTCACCACGGCCAACTTGCAGCAAGACAATTCACCATGGCCAACTTCCCACAGCCAACTCTCTGTAGGGCAACTCGCCACAACCTATTCTCCTATAGCCAATTCACCACAACCAACTCACCTCGGCCAACTCACTGCAGGACAACTCACCACAACCAACTCACCATGTC